CCTAGAGTCTAATGACTTTACAAAGATATAACAGAGTAGAGAATGTTATGGAGAATATCAATAGAAAAAACAGACAAGTGAGTGCATTATTTGGTTGCTTCCTGTGTCCCTTACTTACCATTCCAAAGAATTACCTTTACAAAAGTGTTTTCTTTTAGTATTTTGCTGTATTGAAAAGAGCTATAATCTCAGATTTAAACCAGAGCTAAGCGTGTTCAAAAAGTGCCTCACAGTTTTAAGGAACTTTGTTATTTAAGATTAAATAATGTAAAGCAGAAAAAAAGATGTCTAGAAATAACCAAAAATGATGTTAGTGAGTTATTCGAAATTCTGCTAGAAACTATTGTATGTATTCACAGGATAAAGAGTTTAAGGCCTAAACCAAGGATAATGAAAACGAGTAGAAAAACTTCCACTGATATGTAGACTTTTAAGGTCAGAAGGGATCCTTATGATCAGTCTGATTATGTATGAAACACAGGTAATCCCTTCTCCAGGCTCATAATTTCTACTTGAGCTGTAGCATATATTTTAGAAATGACAGAGCCCAGCCACTGGTCAGGGATGATATATGCATAGCTATGCCTATGTTTTGATATGGGTATTTCCCATGCTTCTGGGCTTTGCAGGTTGCTCCTTCCCTCTCTTTCTCCTGCATGTATCAGGGTGTGTTCAAGCCTTCCTCAGAGGTATTGGGTGTTGGCTGCAGCCGAGGCTGGGGATTTTGACTGAGGTGTACCAATGCTCCTGCTGTAACTTAAAGCCAGAAGCTCCTGTGTAGAGATTCTTGCCACTCTGGTCAGGGTCAGTCTAAGAGCCATATTTGGGTCAGGAAAGAATTATACCCAAGGCCAGATTTGTACTGATTATGGTGGTTTTTGCCTTCTGTAGCCTTCTCTACCTTGGCTCTCTTGTGCATGTATTAACAAACTTTTATAGACGGAAGATGTTGGCTCCTGTGGTTCCTCTGCTTTACGGGGAATGCGTTATATGTTGTGTTACAGTTAACAGTAGTTAAAATACAAAGAGTTTAAATTATGGATATATATGGGATGGTTTGAATAGGGATGACCCTGCCTTGGGCAGGGGGTGGCACTAGATGACATCTACACATCACTTCCAACTCTACTTCTCTATGATTCTATGAAAGTTGCAGTCCTGAAAATATATGGAGACCACAGCTTATTTTCAAGTAAGCTGTTGCAAGGGTTTATAAACTTCAGTATTAAAAATAGGTTCACGGTGAGGTCCAGATCCTGTTTAACCTAGTAAGCATTTAAACAGACTTAGGCACCTAACTATGATCCTATCCTAACTTTCAGGTCCCTGAAAAAAATGGAATCCTGGTCTTAATCTTAAGACTAAAAAGCATAGAGCAGGAAGAGGACCTACAACTTTTGGGCTAACTTTTTCTAGGGGCACCAGGGTGAAATATAATCACGCTTAAGCATCTGAATCCATTTAGGTGTCTAATAGATGAAAGTAGTATTAGTTGCTTAGATTTGTGGGGTTTTTTTTACTTTAATTGGGGACCAATGGTCCACAGACCTTAGTAAAAAAAAAAAAAAAAAAAGGAAGGAAGGAAGAAATTCACAAAGGGTTTTATATATCTTCCTTCTGGAATGGAATCCAGTTGATGGGGAGTGTGTCTTAGAATTGATTCCATAGAGGTTTTCACTCAAAGCAAGGAGATGCCTGACCCATCTAGTAGGGAATACTGAAGAGAACAGTATGTCTTTAGTCTTTGCCTTCCTGAGTGGTTAGATGCATAACCTATGTTGCAGGGAAATATATATATGTCAGATCAGGATTTACAACCTGGGGCCCTATTCAGGAGTTGGAAAAGCTGGGCAGGTGCTTCTGGGTCTTGAAGGGTCCAATACTTTCCAGGGTGCACAAGATTGTGCCTCTCATGTCACCAGAGCACCTACCTAAGGCATCTGGAGAGTGCAGGCAGCTCTGACTTGCATGCACTCTCCCACCACAGAGGAAGTAGACATCCCTCACTATAAATTGATGAACTCTCAGCATTATATTGTATTTAACACTATATTTTGTTGCACCACTGATCTGGTACCAGAAAAGGTAGGAACATCTGTTGGCTTGCCATTTATGCTGCCATAATTTTTATGGTGACACAAGTCCAACGTCAGGCAACGTGTGTTTTTACCTATAAAGGAAAAGAGAGAGTGTAATTCTAGCAAGGTCAGTCATCTGCAGATAGGGGAAACTGGAGGTTAAAGAGTCCTTGTATACAGTTCAGAAGCAGTCCTTCAAAAATAGGTTGGAACCAGATCTATTTTATTCCATGGGACTGCCCTAAGCACTGGGTTGCAGAACCCTACCCCTTTCTTTGATTCACTGAAACCCCACTGGCTGAGGAGGGCCAAGAACTCAAGTCTCCCATATTTGAGGACATGTTATAATCACTGAATCATTATACAAAAGGGTATGAAAGGCTTTCCATCCTCCATCAGGGTGTCTAAATAAAAGCAGCCTTTTCTGATATTGTCTGTGTTGAGTTAGGCCCTATAGATGCCTAATGTATCTGCACTGAGCACATCTACCATATCACACCTTTCAGGGGACTTGGTAACAGAATATATACTTCAAGGATCTTGGGCCTCTTAGATCAAGAGGTAGATGTTCCTCAAGAAGTATATGCCAAAGGATGTTCTGCTCTAACAGGTCAAAGAACCTTTTGGAGCTACTTAGCTGTGTCAAAATGGCAACTGTTCCTGATTGTGTGTAGAAGCAGGACTTTAGGTATACATGGAAATGTACTGTCAAAAATTAAGCACCTACAGATTGTGAGTGCTCTGATAGCATGCCTACACTGCTATTGCTAAAGTGCTTGCACTATAGGGTAGAGATATGAGCTAGACTTACACTAGTACTGAAAGCTGTATAGCTACATTGCAAAGAACTCAGAGCAGGCTTAAATTACGCTGCTTCTGCAACTATACCAAGTGATTTGGTGGAGGTTTTGAGGAAAACACTCTTGCACTTTAGCAGAAATTAGGCACCAAATTCTTATTTATGTGGATCTGGGTCTTATGCCTACTTGCTATGCATGGAGAGACTTCTGCACATGTTTGGACTCAGTAAGATCATGGGGTTTCTTTGTAAATTATGGGATTCTGTAATAGCTTAAAGAATTTGGGCATTATTGATGAAAAACTGTCAATGATTAAGCTAGAGGCTTTAAAAATGAAGACTTATCTGGATGTCTTGTGTCTACAAAATTAGGGTGAGCTTTGTAAAAGGAGATGACTACCACTTGCATCTGGTCAGTTAGATATAGGCCATGGCCAGATATTCATTCCTGAAATTCTTATTGGTAGAAAAATAGTCTGGAAATTAGAACACACATGTGTTTCAGCCTGCTGGCTGAAGAAGTACGGAAGTGAGCTCTCCAGGCTCAGGACATGAGGGATACTTTTTGGGAAACTCCCAACCTTGGGGGAAACTATTACTTTACAGCCTGTTCTCTCCCTCACTTGGGAAAAGGGCAGGCTGTCAGTAGGTAGACTTCCAGATTTTAAATCACAGCATTTGCCCCAGCTGGGCAGCACACACCATTTACGTCCTTCAGGGCTGAGTACCAAGGTCAGAAGAGCTTGCCCAGCCCCAAATCCAAGCCTTGGAGGCTGTTAAATACCTCTGCAGGGAATACTGCCCTCCCTCCATTGTTCTTGCCAATCAACTGATTGGCAGGAAAGGGGAAGTGTTGTTCTTCAGGGTTCCCATGGATTCACACCAGGGTGAGATCTCAGAGAGTCAGTGTTCTCCCTTTCCATCTCTTTTGGTGGGAGGGACAACACAGGACTGTGGGGTATTTGGTATTCTCCACAACTGAGGGCTCTAACAGAAGTGGTGTTTTGTTGTGCAATTGACCTCCTGAAAGCACTTTACAGCCATGCCCTGACAGAAATGCATGGCTGCAGAACACTTAAAAAGTGCTCAACTGTGCAACAAATTAACCCTTGTGATATGAGGGTTCCAATGAAGGCATTCCAAAGTGAAGTGCCTTCATTAACTTCTGTCAGTCCCAATCCTGGAGCAGAGTCCCCAGTGCTGTCCCTGTCCCCAGTGCTGTCTTCAGTATAGGAGGGAGGAAAGAGAGCTTAGTTTGGGGGTTGCCCAGACTTCACTGGAAGGAGGGGCAAGTGCATTGGAGCTCCCCTGAGGTGGTGGTGTGCTCCAGTCTAACCCTTTTCCCCACTAGCAAAGACTGAGCATACCCTAAACCAAGTTTCCTGTCCTCCCTTTTTCCCCTCACATCCTGAAGACAGCACCAGAGCTGGGAGAGATGGGAAGGTCTGGTGGGGAGAGGCTGCAGATGTGCAGTGGAGTTTGATTCCCCACCCTCCCCCCAACCCAACAGAGAACACCTTGGTGGGGTGGGTGGTCACTGTAACTCATGGCACTTTCTGTGAGGCACACGTCAAGGGGAGTTGTATGCCTGTCAATGCCCTGAAAGAAACAGGCAGCCTTTCAAGTTAAATCAGGAGAAGGGAAATCTTAATGTCTTAATTTGGTGCAAAAATAAGTCTTATAGGTATTCTTCTATTTCAAAATAAAAAGTCTCATCAATTGATCCAAATACTAGTTATTGTACTTCTCAAGATTCTGAACTCAAATATTTAATACCACCGTTTATTTTTTTTTTCTGTATCAGATAACTCTTTCTCTCTCCCTGGATAACATGTAAAATAAGAACACAGAGCATGACTTGTAGTTGCTGTGAGACCATTCCACACCAAAAGGCACATTGAATCTCAGGAATCAAAGAGAAATGCCCTTGGACTTGAGAAGCAATCCATTTTAAATAGTACTTATGTGTTATTCCACTTAGAAAATGTCCTAAGGGCAAAATAGCACAAGGAACTTTTAAGGTCTAAGAGCAAAGCTTACTTTTGCGCTTTGTAGTTACTGCATAATCACTCAGGCTGAAAATTTAAACAATTTTATTCTGAATAATATCTTATGTAACTTACCGAAATAGCTTGTCCATGAAGCTTACTCTCATAAGATAATGGCAAATCACAGTGTTGTATCCATTTTTCTCCAAAAACAATTTTTATGAAGATCATTAAAAACAAAATACAAAAGAAGTCAGGCCCCAGTCTTATTTACATCAAATTTAGAGATAACTCTGATTGCCTTCAATGTCCAAGGTCAAGGTCTAACTCTAAATTATGAAGAAATCTATGGAATTCACTCTTATTTGAGTGAGTTATCACATATTCTTATAAGATAAAACTAGTGCCCATTGAATTAGGAGTTACTGTTTCAGTAAAGTTCCAGTTATGAAAAACACAAATATTTTAAAAGCCTATTTTCTTTTGCTAGAAAAATAAGTATTCCTATTGTTTAAAAATAAAAATGTTAGACTGAATGAGTGGGAAAATAATCAAAATTGCTGTACTTGAAATAAATCAGTACAATATATATATATTTGGCGGGGGTGGCGACAGCATGTGGGAAGAGATGGGGGCGCAGTTTAAGATTTAATTCAGTGTAATATTTCTTATATTTCAAGACCTCACATTTACTGGCCTATGCCAAATGATTACCAAGGACAGCAATTTACACTAATCTTTATGGTCACTTTAACTGAATTCAGCCTCATCAGTGAGATGTATGTTAAGAAGGTTTTTATTTATTTAACTGCTTCTGGCAGATAAAACACTTTGATTTCACAAGCTAGGCAACATTGGACCCAAACAATATTTCAGTGAGTGATATCTGCTGAACCTAGAACTCATGGGCATTGGAGAAGTGATTCAGTACAGAACCAAAGTTCCAGAGTAAATTGAAAGTTTGCTTTTGGGCCCCCTCTACATGTGCATGGCAGGAGGCAGGATTGTGGGATCCAGCATAAGATCCTACCATGCCTTATGGTTGGTACAAGTAGAGCCTGGGTTTCCCATCCTGGGTTCCTCCTGTATTGGCAAATAAGAAACTCAGAGTCCCAGCTATGCCTCACATGAAGCCATGACTTCAAGACCTGCAGCTGATGGGACTCTCAGTCCTGGCTTTGTGGGGCACAGCCAGGACTGCAGGTCCCAGCATCTGCAGGATTGTGCTCTTCCAGCTGTGCGGGGGCATAATAGGCACCCTGCAGTTCACAGCTATTGTGGGGGATACATGGAGCCCCATGCAGCTGGGAGAACATGTACAACTGGGGCTGGGAAATCACAGATGTACCTTGCAGCTGCCAGGAGCAAGAGTCCTGACACTCCTGGACATTTCAGGGAGATTCCCCTCATCTGTGGACTCCCAGTCCCAGCTGGGCATTGTGCACCCCTGTGGCTGGAAGCCTGGTTAGCTGATGGGGCTCCTAACTGCAAGGGAAACCCTGGTACATACGCAAATTTAAAGCTAGATAGCAACCAGGTATAATGTTAGCACGCATTTTTAAAATTAACTTTATAGTTGGTTGGACCACTTTATGGTGTGATAGGTATTTTGCATGTGTAGCTTGTCTCCATTTAATTGTGCCATTAACTAGCCAATTGTGTCATAACTGTAATGTGTAGAGGAGGCCTTGCTAACGCACTTTAAACAGGGCATGGTCACTGGTGCTGGAAAAAGTGAAAAGTAGGATTCTCATAATCTTTGGGGTTGGACTTGAAGATCTACTTAGGTCCCTTCTGACCCTACAACTATGAATCTATGAAAAACCTTAAAAATAAACAGTTTTGGTTGGCTATAGTTATATTCTTATATAAAAATAAAAAGGTGATTAGGAACAGTCAGCATGGATTCACCAGGAGCAAGTCATGCCTGACCAACCTTCTATGATGAGGTGACTGGCTCTGTGGACACAGGGAGACTGGTGGAGATGGTGTACCTTGATTTTAGCAAGGCTTTTGTTATGGTCTCTCACAACATTCTTACAGGCAAGCTAAGGAAATATGGGCTGGATGGATGGACTGTAAGAAAAGAGAAGGGCCTGATCCGTGCAGGCAAGAGAAGACTGGGAGGGAACTTAATAGCCTTCGACTACCTGAAGTAGGGTGTGAAAGAGGATGGTGCTAGACTGTTTTCAGTGGTGGCAGATGACAGAAGAAGGAGCCAGAGTCTCAAGTTGCAGCAAGGGAAGTTTAGGTTAGATATTAGGAACAATTTTATCAATAGGAGGGTAGTAAAACACTGGAACAGGTTACCCAGAGAGGTGGTGGAATTTCCATCCTTGGAGGTTTTCAAAACCCAGCTCAACAAAGCTTTGACTGGCTTGATCTAGTTGGGAATGGTCCTGCTTTAAGCAGGGGGTTCTAGTAGGTGACCTCCTAAGGTCCCCTCCAACCTTAACTTTCTATGATTCTATTCTATGAATTTCAGGACTTTGCACGTATTCTTGTTGAATCTCATCTAATTGATTGTGGATCATTCTCCAGTCTATCCAGGTAATTTAGCTCTGCCCTCCAGAGTGTCTGCCACTTCACCCAACTTGGTGTCATGTGCAAATTTGCTAAGTGTACACTCGATCCCATCACCCAAATCATTAATGAAATTGTTGGACACTACTGGAGCTAGGCAGACCCCTGGGGAACTCCATTTGATACCTCCTTCCAACTAGATATTGAGCCATTGGTGACTGCTCTTTGCGTGCTATGAGGATCCCTTACTGTACCATCATCTGCATTTTCTTAGCTTAGTACTTGGTTAAATATTTGCAACTTAGAATGGAAATATTTCAGAAGACCACAGCTTTCAGTAATTGTTCTTTTGTGCACTCTGTATGTGTAACACAGAGTCATTATTTTCAAAGCTCTACATAAATATTAATTTAAAATAAAAATACTATGCAGGCTGAGGTTGCTGTTTCTAAGCTTAACACACATAATGGCCAGAAGTGTTTTATAATATTTTTATCCTTTTTATTTGTTGTACATTTGTCTGCACACATGTTCTCTTTTTTGTGTTATGTTAGCTGAATAAGTATCTTGGAAAGTCTGGGTATTCTCTATAGCTGTGTCAGGACAAGTGAGACCATGCAGTATGTGGCATCGCAGACACATCAGGGTGCCACATACTACATGTTCAGCTGTTCTCCATGCTACAAGAGAGCAATGCATGGGCTTTTTTGACCCCTGAATATCCAGGGGCAAAGGAACCCATGCAAAAAAAAAAGCAGAGTGACGCACGTGGGGGCAGCATGCACTACTCAAAACTGGAGCCTGGTGGACCAGAGCCATACTGCAGCTGCTGACCAGGCTCCGTGTGGCAGGATCACTATTGCTGAAGCTCCAGGAGGCCCCCAGGACCCCAGGAAAGGCTGCTGGGGTTGAGGCCAGTGCTGGCCCTAGCCTCTCCCACCTACCTGAAGCAATCTGCCATGCACCAGAGCACACATGGCATGGGCGTTCCCCAGGGACAACTAGCAGTGGCACAAAGTGCACTGCTGTTAGTTCTCCTCAGGGAACCAAACGTCCATGCTCACTGGGAGGGTGAGGCAAATTGAGAGGCACTGAAAGCTCTCTACTCTTCAGGGCTTTAGTATCTGAATGTGAATCTTGGCAAGTTTTTTCTACCAGGAGAACAAACCTGGGAGATTTCTCCCAGTTTATTTAAATGTGTGTACACAGCCATTAGCTCTCATACATTACACTTCTTCTATTTCATAATACCTGTATTTCCTATTGCATGGCTTAACTGCAACATGCACAATCTTCCAGGACAGAACATGCTTTTCTGCTCTTAGCCAACCACCATACAAACAGAATGTAGCTATATACATTCATCACGGAAATGTAATGCAGATTTATTTAATTATACTTCATTAAGTTGGGATTATGTTGTATTGCAAGTTACCAAAAACCTATGGGAAAAAGAACTTAGAGATCTTAGCCTCTGAGGACAAAGAGTTTTGATTGTGCTCCTCTCCTAAAACACTAAGTCTTCACTCAGCTCACAAATTTTATTTTGTTACATTCATTGTTAACATATTCAGGCAGTACACAGTGTGAATCATAGTAAAAGCTGGTTAATAAAGAATATTTGGCACACTATATATAGCATATGAGTGTAATTACAGAACTGATAATAATGTAACGAAGGCACATAATTATCCACGTGCACAGTATTGGTTACCTCATGAAATGAAATGTTTTGTTTTCTGCACAGTATGTCATATATTTTAGTCATAAATTCAGAAGCACATCAATATGCAGAAAGGAAAGAATAATTGCCACTTGGTGCATGCAGCAAAATCTTTAGGATGCAAGAGATAGATTCAGGGAGTAAAAATATAATACCAGCAAAAGGTTTTGTTGTTGTTGGTCCAAGGGAAAAAAAAGAAGGAAAAGATGAAGAGGGACTATTAACCTTCATCTTTGAGAAAAGACAGTCTCTGTTTTAAGAAATATATTTCACCTTGGCAGACTCCTCTTATTGCTTGAATAACGCAATTTGAGACAAAATGTGAAAAATAAAACAGAAATTCAGTTAAAAACCAATTTAATGGGCACTACATAATATACAGAGCATTCCAATATCCTGTAGGAGAATATATGCATAATATACATTATTTTGTGTGCACTAATAAGACTGCTAGAATACAGTGAAAATGAAGATGACTTTTCCACAGAGTGGCAAAATAACACTGGATTTAGGTATCACCACTTATTGTAGGAATGAAATCCTATTATCAACAGAGTTGTCCTCAGTGGAGCCAGATTTTTTCCTGAGATATTAGTAACTTATCCTTTGCAAAAGTCGTTATTTTAACTATAATTGGTACTATTTTTTCTTATTCTGAAATTGCCAGTAAGTGCTTCAGCCTGAAGCAACCTTACTATCTCTCTTTATATAGGCCTCCCCAATAGGAACAAGTCTGAAGTTCAGAAGAATGTAATGAAGTTTTCTTAAAAAGCACCTTCTCTAACTAAGCTGCTAATAAAGACTATTCTGATTCCCTGCAAAAACTAGTGTTTCTGTGCTAAAATGTGTAGGCTTATTACCCAGTGCTCCCAATAAGTAATGATGTAGAGAAAAAGATTTAGACACTTTGGGTAGGGTCACTTACCTTCCTGCCCTTCTCTTGTGTCTAGTCCATGTATTTTTTCACAGCAGCAACTAGGATAGAGTTAATGAACAGCCTCACTATATGTCCCAGCTGTGACTCAACAGCAGATTAAAATCAGCAGCAGTGCAAGACTGCAACCCTGGTAATAGGTTGGACAGAGGTACAGTGGTTTCAGACA